TCACCCGATTATTCCCATCCCTGTATTAGGTTAGAGGGAAATCGCCAGAGACTTATTCCCTATGTAGGCCCTGCAAATGTATTTTGGGCTTTTACTGTCATCCATAGCTCTCACACTAGAATCTCACAATTTAAGCTCTGATACTATTTAGATTTGGATGATATAATTTACAATCCTTGGATCGTGGCTTATTTGACATCTCACTTAGATGGTTGCTTGTTTGAAATCAAGCCTTTAAGACCCCAGACACTATTCTTTCTGGTAGCCAGGCACTATCTAATTTCCTCACTGCACTTTGCTACAGCACCCATATCTTCTGTGTTTCCTCGAAAAGGGTGAGAATTGAGCAGGACCATGTTGTAAGAATTAATTGTTCTTTGACTGGAGCTAGGATTAAGTGTGAGCCCCAAATCCATTCCTGAATCTATGTTTTTTAATCTGCCTCTGGCTTGCCTTGGAGACATCCTTGTTAATTTGTGGTAGAGAATCTTGTCTATCATCTTTTTAGAGCATAAGGGCCTTCTGTTTATAGTGTCATTGATTGGTCCATAGTACTATATTTAAAACACCATTGAGAAGGGGAGATTGAATAAGTGTGCAGGCTAACTACAGATCGTAATAGATGGATTATTGACTTGTACAGAATAAATCCTTATGTGACTCCTTGCACAAACAATGGGAATTGGTAGTCAGGCAAAACTTATAATAATATCCACTTACAATGTCAGACCCAGGTATGCCAGAATAACACATATCTTAATACATGAAGTAGGGCATTGAAATAGTATGGAAATGTTAGTCTGCCTACCGACATGACAGCTCAGTACTCTTGGAATAGCTGTCTTCTGCTTCTTCACAGACCATGTAGTTTCAGTCTGAAGTCCTCAGGTTACAGGTATGTGTGAGGTAGAGCCTAGTTCACCTAGTGGGGTTTCCACATCTCATCCCTCTGGTGTGGCCCTTGCAGAACCAGAGTTCACATGCTCTTGTCTTCTCCAAGATGTGTGCGCTCCCTTTCACCCCTCCTGACTTGATTTTCCCATCAGTATTCTCATCACTCTGGTAGGAATGTCTGCCAGTCTCAGGGAACCTCGTCACACCTTTGCAGGGGAGCCACTAAGAGGTCATCCTCCTGTCTTCCTCTCTTGAAAATCTGAGCTCAGCTGATGTGAGGACCCTTCTGCCAAAGTGGCCTTCAAGACACACACAGAGAGGATGGTGCATGGTGCATGGGCACCAGTCAAGCTCTCCACAGTGCTGCCTGGAGGACCTGGCCAGGGGACTGGATGGCCTTAAAGCCTGAGCTTGCGCCCATCTTGGTGCTCTTTTCTACAGCAGTGGACTCGTACAGGGTGTGCCCTTTTGTGATTGACTACCTTCATTCAGCATAATGGTTTCCAGATCCCTCCACGTCATGAGGCATTTCATCACTGTTTATATAGGGATGCATAGTATTCCATTGTGTGTATATATCAAAGTTTTAAAACCCATTCTACCGATGGGAATTTGGGCTGTTTCCAACTTCTTGCTATTGTGAACTGTGCTGCAATGAACCTGGGAGGGCATGCTTCTGCTGTCTCTTATTTCTTTGGGGCACATGCCCAGTAACGATATTGTTGGTATTTCTATTGCCAGAAGTTTAAGAATCACCATAGTGCTTTCCACAGTGGTTGTACGTATTTACAAGCCAACCAGCAGACTATAAGAGTTTCAGTGTCTGTATGAGCACCCCCAAAAATGATTTATAAAACAAAATGAAAAAAAAAAAAAAGAGTTCCAATCGCTCCACACCCTCTCCAGAATTTATTGTTCTCTGTTTTCTTTTAAATTGGGCTATGGTTGTGGCTGTTAGATGGTCTCTCATCATTGTTTAGATTTGCATTTCCCAGATGGCTAAGTGAATAAGCTTTTCCTCGTGCTTATAGCCATTTGGGTGTCATCTTTTGTAAATTGTCTATTCAGGTCCTTGTCCACCTTTTAAGAGGATTATTTACATTTTTTTCTTGTTGTAGGCTTGCAATGTTCTGTAGATTTGTAGTAATTAGCCCTTTTTCTATTATGTTATTGCTAAGCATCTTTTCCCAATCTGTTTTTGTCCGTTGGCACATTTTTATTCAGTCTCCATCCCCCTGTCTAGTTCTTGTATACTCATCTTTAAAAATTGAACTGTGATTATAATGTGCATACATCTTTGTATTCTGATATTTATCTCTTATTAAGCTTATAGAAAATTTAGGGGAGAAAACCCCAGAACAGTTTAGAGTAGTATACAAATCAGTATTTTAGCACAGTTCATTACTCATTTTCTCATTGCTAATATCCTTCTCTACGGAGTCCTGGTGATGCTGTCAGGTAAGCATTGGACTGCTGACCACACGGTTGGCAGTTCATACATACCAGCCACTCCCAGGAGACAGTCGAAGCTCTCTCCTCTTGTAAAAGTGCACAGCCTCTGAAACTGGAGGGTTACTGTCAGCCAGAACAGACTTGATGGCAGCAGGTTTATATCATGTTCTAATTTCTTTCCTGAGGGTTTGCACTTTGCCTGAGCTTCTGTTACTGTCTTCTTAACAATCTGAGCCACACAATCATGCATTTGTTGTACATTTGCATCTAACTGCCAATGTTTGTCAAATGTGGTTCATTCCTGTTACTCATTTCAAGTGACTTTTATACTAAATCTCTGTGGGGTAAGAATGCTGTTTCTAAAAAGTTTTTAGTGGCACAGGCTAAAGAGGCAAATAGCAAGCTTCCACTGTAAAGGCAATTCCTCCTTTACCAAGAGTTCCGTTTTATACTCTTTCTGTATCTTTATAGATATTTTAGGATCAAGGTGGGAGGGTCAAGTCCAGGAGTGCTAGCCAGACACTGTTTCAGCAGACACATGGTTTCTATTTTAGAGTGTGCCTCTAGCTCAGGTGATCTGTGTCTTCCTTTGCCACATGATTTTCATTTTTTTCTTCCTGGAAGATGGTGCTGCTGTTCGTACTGCTTTAGCCTGGCATCTCTTGATTAGGGCAGTGAGCATTTGCACAAGAAGCTGGGGTGGTGGCGGTGGTGGTGGTGGTGGTGTGTGTCTTGTGTTTTCACTGATTCGTCGACCTTTGATCCAACTGTGTGTCAGAGAGTCTAAGAGAGCATGTTTGCATCTGCCTAGATGCCCTTGCATCCCTCTACCCTTTCTGTGCACTCCCTCCCCTCGGAGTGCATTCACTTTGCAAACTTAGCACCTAAAGCTTCTTCTCCAGAAGTGCCTTGGGGCTTACAAAGCCTGCCTTGTTTATGCTCCTTCAGACATGCTGAGCTGCTAACTGTAAGGACAGCAATGCAAGCCCACCAGAGAAAGATGAGGCTTTCTGCTCCTGTAAAGGTTTACAGCCTGGGAAACCCACAGGGCAGTTTTGCTTTGCCCGCTAGGGTTAGCATGTGAGTCCGAATTGAGCTGATGGCAGTGACTTTGAAAACAGCCTCTAACCAGTGATTGATAGGCCCCTGTGGGAGCAGGCTGAGGCCACCTTCTGGGGGACTTTCCCTGAGGTTGCACTCATCCTCCCCGCCACCCCCCTCCCCAATTGGGGCTTCTTTCACTCCCTCTCAGGTGGCCCCTCCTTCATCTACTAAGGCCCGGTTCCTGCCCTTGATTCTACCTCAGAGCGACCCTATAGCACAGAGCAGAACTTCTCTAGGGTTTCTGAGTCTGTGCATCTTTACAGAAGCAGGCTGACTCTTCTTTCTACCTCCGATTGGCTGATGGGTTTGAATAGTAAACTTTGGGTTAACCGTCTAATGCTTAGCCCATTGCACCCCAGGGGACCCCCTAAGAAACTCCTTGCACACAGATCCTTAACATGGGATCTGCTGCTGATGGAAGATAGAAGCCTCTCTACCGCCCTCCCAAATAGTTCTTCCCTTTGACAATGCCCCACTCTGATAGAACAGGACATGAACTTTCTTCGTCTCTCCACATGAACAACGCTGGCACTTCTCCTATTTGCCAGGGCCTTTTTATGAAGCGTGAAGACACAGCTCACTTTGTCCCTTCATCTGTTCAGGACGCTTCCATTTTTAAATGACTCAACCTAAATTTCACAGAGATGAAATGTACCTAAGATAGCCATTTTCATGTGAACCATTCCACAGTACTTCGTACCATGTCAGCGTGCACAGTTCCATCAGCCCAAAGTACAACTCTGAATGCACAGAGCACTTTCTCCCCATCCCATCTCTTCTGGGCCCCTGGCAAGCCCCAGTCAGTGTTCTGTCTCTAAGGATTTACCTCTCCTGGACACTTCAAGTAAATAGAATCCATGTCAGTCTTCATCAGAATGTGGAGGTTCCTCTAGGCTGCAGAGTATTAGTGCTTCTTTCCTTATAGGACTGGACATTGTATGGATACCTCACATTTGATGGGGAGTTGGGCTGTTTCTACATTTGGGCTTTGTGAATAGTGCTGTTATGGATGTGTGTTTCTGTGTGTGTGTGTGTGTGCATGCTCGCAGGTGTGTATCCCTGCATTCAATACTTGGGGATATATGCTTCGGAGTGGAACTGCCAGGTCGTATGGTAATTTTATGTTTACAATTTTGAGAGACCACCAAATGGTTTTCCACAACAGGGACACCATTTTACCTTCTTTCCAGGAATGAATGAAGCTACTCTTTTCCTCATAGCTTTGCCTGAACACCAAGCAAGCATTTGCAGCCTTTGCTGCTCTTGGCTAGATTCTTTTCCATCTCTGAGGCCTCTGCTCAGACACCTGGGCCTGACTGTTTCTGTAAGGCATTATCTCTGATCTGCCAGCGGGCTAGCTTCCAACTGTTCACACGGCAGAGTCCAGGATCCAAGACAATGGAAGCGCAGGAGCTTCTTAAAGTCCAGGGTCAGAACTGGCACAGAAATCACCATCATTTCATGGTGTTGGTCGGTCACAGCAGGCCACAGAGGGAAGGGGCAGGAAAATGATTCTGCATTCAGAACCATGGCCTGGTCTTGCTTTGCAGGGCTGAGCAATGGTGAAGGGCCCGTCAGCGAGAGTGAGAGTTTCCGGAGAGTCTCTGAGCAGCTTGTGAAGTACATGAACTCCAGAGATCGGTCGCTGCAGAAAAACTTTCTGAAGCAAGAAATCGTTCAGCGATTCCTGCGTCTCCTGTCTTCGCTGCAAGGTAATTTTTTTGTCAAAACAAGCACATGGGTAAGACACAATTTATACTTATTAGCACTCTTTTTTCCAACAAGTTAAAATTAAGGTAAAAAAGGTAGCATGTCTACAAAGATGATGGGGTGCTCTTTAGTGACAAGTCAGTCTTCTACCTCTCTGAACTTCAGGTGCTAAATCTCAGGCCCACAGGCAATGCCTGTTACTAGTTTCTCTTGTTTCCTGCGAGAATTACTCTTTTCATATTCTGTCATTAACAAAACAAAACAAAACAACTCTAGGCGTGGCTTTCCCCTGTATACACCAGATAATAAACCAAACCAAACTCACTGCCATTGGCCCAAGTCCAACTTATAGTGACCCTGTGGGACAGGGTAGAACTGCCCCTGTGGGTTTTGGATACCATAACTATATGGGAATAGAGAACCGCATATCTTTCTCCAAATAATGTTAATTTTATGTTATTTTTTCACTGGGGAAATTAGGAAACTTTCAGAAAAAAAAGTATCAGTTTTAGATAATCAGGGAAGATTCCAGAACTCATAAGTGAAATTGAGCATTTATAAAATTAACATTCAGTATGAACTATTAAAGTACTCAACTCAGACTATTTGTAGGTCAGAGATGTCTCAATTTTACAGAGAAGGCAGGAAGGCTTGGCTGTAGTAACCAAATATGTTTTTCAGAGTATGCAGCAGATTGTGCAGCTTAAGGCTTGAAATTTTACCTTCAAGTCTTAACTCTACATTTTCCAAGTCTGTGCCCTTTGACCGATTGCTTATCCTTTTTAAGCTTTAGTCTTTTCATCTCTGTCTAGTTGGGAGAACTCACCTTACCCTAATTGATAAGGAACAATATGAGATAGTTGATAGGTCTAGTGGCCTGTATAGAAAATACTAATGCATGTTAGCTATTAGTGTGGGTTTGCAATACCAGTTTTTCTTTCTTGGGATATGAGGGACTCAAAGATAAGTATCACAGCCAAGCCTCAAGGAAAGGGCCACCTCATGAGGGATCTTTCAGTGAGATCATTTGGTGCAAAACCTGCACCTTGGGAGCCTTTGACTTTTGGATTTCATGTCATCTGACCCATGGCCCATGCTGACTATTCTCATTTCTAAGTAGGGTTATAAAAATAAAATGCGAGCTGCTGTTGGGGATTGGTAAAAATCTCCTAAGAAGCTATAAAATAAGAATGTTATTTTTTTGAAAGTCTTAAGGTCTGTGCTCCTGTCTTTTCTTTGTTTCGCTGTGAATATTTATGTGTGTTGAGGTAGGTCCCTCTCTGTCTCATTTTGGGCACCTTACTCTTCAAATCTGTCCCTCTCTCTTACTTGCCCCCTGCAGGTCTTCCTCCAGCCAACTTGAGCACCTTTCCCCAACTCTCCTCCAATGCCTTATCTTTTCACTTTATTCCTTCTCTTTAGGTTTCCCCTTTCTCCTCTATTGGGAAGCGAAAATAAGCAAATGTAAACCATACTACTTTTTCTTTAAGGAACTCTTGATTTCTTCCCTTTTATTCCCTCCCATTTTTCTTGCTAGCTGACTTGCCAGGTAAAGTACAAATATAAAATATTTCATGGGCATACTTATACTAAAAATATATATATTTTTAATATATATATTTGTTGGTTACATACATTTGTTGGTTATGTGAAATTAAAATTTTCTATGTTTGGAAAAAACATTCTGAAGATCTAGTTAAAATTTTCTTTTTTTTTTTTTTCATTTCAATGAGCTCCTTGGAGGACACGTTTTATTTCAAAAGCACATAATAGTACAGCACTGGTCATTCTCATTATACTAGCATAGAATATTTGTATTATACTCTG